CCGGGCTGGATTCAAACCCGCCACCTTAGGTGTACATGGCTGGCGCCTTAGCCGGTTGAGCTATAGGCGTCGAGCCGGAACTGTGGGGTTTGCACTACGTCTCAGTATACACAGCTGTGGTGGAAACAGAGTGAGCGCCACAATAAAGGACATTAGTAGATGAAATTTGAAATTCTCCCCTCCATATGAGCGGAGAACCAGAGATAATTCTAAGTATTGAACTAATTTGATGTTAAGTTGAAGACAGAGAAACTCAGAATATTTTATATGTGCTGGGGATGAAAATACTTTTTGCCAGCCAGTAAGCAGTGTCTCTCGCCTTTAATCCCTGCACTATGAGAGGTGGGTGGATTGCTTGAGCTCAGGAGTTCAAGACCAGTCTGAGCAAGGATACCCCATCTCTACTAAAAATAGAAAAACTAGCCGGGCTTGGTGCCTGTAGTCTCAGCTATTTCAGACACTGAGACAACAGGATCATTTGAGCCCAAGGGTTTGAGGTTACTGTTAGCTATGATGCTATAGCACTCTACCCAGGGTGACAGAGTGAGACTTTGTCTCAAAAAAAAAAAAAAAATTATTTATTTATTTATTTATTTATTGGCGGGGGGGTAAGAGTCTCACATTCTCACCCTTGGTAGAGTGCTGTGGTGTCACAACTCACAGTAACCTCTAACTCCTGGGCTTAGGCGATTTTCTTGCCTCAGCTTCCCAAGTAGCCAGGACTACAGGCACCCGCCACAATGCCTGGCTATTTTTTGTTGCAATTTGGCTGGGGCTGGGTTTGAGCCCATCACCCTCGGTATATGGGTTCAGTCCCCTACCCAGTGAGGCCACAGGTGCCGCCCCAAAAGCTGGTTTTCTTTCTTCATTTGGGCAGTGTTTACACAGGTGTGTTCACTTTGTCATTTGCAGTAAGTAGAACATTTATGCATTGTGTACTTTTCTGTAGGTATGTCACTAGTTCATAATTTAAACAGATTTAAATATATATATATATGTGTGTATATATATATATATATATTGTAGAGACAGAGTCTCACTTATCGCCCTCAGTAGAGTGCCGTGGTGTCACACAGCACACAGCAACCTCCAACTCCTGAGCTTAGGTGATTCTCCTGTCTCAGCCTCCTGGGTAGCTGGGACTACAGGTGCCCGCCACAACGTCTGGCTATAAAAGAAAAAAACTTTTGCCTTAGAATTTTGAGATGCTGATCTAGAGAGAAAGACTTGCTCATCTACTACCCCAGTAACTGACAGAAGAGGCAACTACGGTTAAAGGAAGACAAAGAGAAGTTAGGAAACAGTACAACATACTACTATAGACAGATGACAAGAATCAGAAGCAGATTGGTGAAAGCTGAATCCCAATTTTGATAATTAACTGGTATGTGCTCCCAAGCAATTATTTAGCCTCTCTAAGCCACCATTTCTTCACTTGCAAAAAGGAAAAAATATTAACTCATGATTACTGGGAAGATAAGGGGAAATGCATGTAAATATCTTGGAATAAAAGCATTCCATATTTGATAGCTATTATTATGAAATAATTTCTTTTTCTTTTTTTGTTTTGAGACAAAGCCTCAAGCTGTCCCCCTGGGTAGAGTGCCGTGTCATCACAGCTCACAGCAACCTCCAACTCCTGGGCTCAAGGGAGTCTCCTGCCTCAGCCTCCCAAGTAGCTGGGACCACAGGTGCCCACCACAATGCCCAGCTATTTTTTGGTTGCAGCCATCATTGTTGTTTTGGTGGGCCCGGGCTGGATTCAAACCCGCCACCTTAGGTGTATGTGGCTGGCGCCTTAGCCAGTTGAGCCACAGGCGCCGAGCCATGAAAGAATTTCTTACTACAAATGGGGGTATTAAGTGAATTAAATGGCTTGAAGAGCATATTAGAACATTTCAAATCAGAAACTGGGAATTCATTCCAACACGATCTTTTGGTTTGTTTGTTTTTTTGAGACAGAATCTCACTTTGTCCCCCTGGGTAGAGTGCCGTGGCATCACAGCTCACAGCAACCTCCAACTCCTGGACTCAAGCGATTCTCCTGCCTCCGCCTCCCAAGTAGCTGGGACCACAGGCGCCCGCCACACGCCCAGCTATTTTTTGGTTGCAGCCGTCATTGTTGTTTGGCGGGTCCGGGCTGGGGATTCGAACCCGCCACCTTAGGTGTACGTGGCTGGCGCCTTAGCCGGTTGAGCTATAGGCGCCGAGCCAAGAATTGTAATTCTTAAAGCTGACACTAATAACTGCAGCACCTGGCCGATTTCCTTACACAGATTAGGAAATCAAAATATTGAATAAAGACAAAAGAACATTACTTGGGTAGGAAATGGGGGGGGGGGGTGTGGATAGACACAATTATGAAAGTCACTACAAAATTTTTCAGACAGACTGTATTATTGGTCCACCTGTTAGGGCTGTGTTTCTGATTGATCTGCACAAGTTTCAGCTTGCTCAGCTTACTAGTGTTGCTGGGAGGGCTTTATTTGTTTCTATCCACGTAGATTTTACATTTCTTATGTTTTTTTGTATCACAAAACTTTGTTGTTGTTGTAGTTTTCAGTGCTGTTTTAGCTGGCCAGGGCCAGGTTCAAACCCGCCACCCTTGGTATATAGGCTGGTGTCCTACCCACGGCCCTGCATCTTAAAACTTTTGTAATGACCCATGTATATTCTTCTTGGGATTGGTAATAAAAGGAAATAGTAACAAACTGGATCTAAAATATGGGTAAAAGAGTTTTCTTTAGAGAAGAAGTGAAAGGTAGCTGCTGCTGGAAATTAAGAAGAGTGGTGATTGAAGGAAATAAAGAAACAGGCTATTAGTAAACTTTTGCTAAAAGGACTTAGTTTTCTCCACAGGCCTATGTTCCTGATGGGAGCTTCCAAGATAACATCTCAAGGGTCTGTTTCCCCACTGATTAGCTGAGTGACTACCTGTAATGCCCTGCTTCTGGGCAGTCATATCTGACTTACCTGAACACAGACCTCTTGTAAGCTCTCTGCCAACCATCCAGGGCTCTTTCCCTTGTTCCAATAAGGAGATCACTTGAGGCTTAGGAATGTAAGGTCCTGCTCATGAGAAAAGATATGGGACATAGTTACACTGTGGATAAATCAGATCCAGCAATCTGATCCAGTCCCTTGATGATCAAGAAAGAGATGCCATTACAGGATCAGCCCAAGAAAGATGAAGCTTCAACCATGGCCCACTGGAGTTGCCAATTTCCTACTCTTCTTTTTCATTTTACCTCTAACTATTTATTTGGTAATAGAGAGCAGAAATTCAGCTAATAACTTAGAAAGCAGCTGAGAAATTCACGGTGGAAGCAGACATCCCAGAGAATTGGAATAGATACCCTTACCCACTGAAACTAGATTGCTGTAATTCTCCAACATCACTTCTCTGTACAAGTCCCTCTGAACAGGGTCCAGGCACTCCCACTCCTCCTGAGAGAAGTCTACAGACACATCACTGAACACCACTGTTCCCTGAAACAATAAACATATGTATTACTTGTGTAATAAAATAGATATTTAGAGATAGAAATATCTATTTAGAAATAAAGTCGATATTTGCTTATATTGTAGGGTAAAGCAAATGAGTAATTATATTAATATCTCAGAGACTCAGTATCTTTGGATCTCAGAAATAGATTTAAGAGTATGAGTTTAAGCGGCGCCTGTGGATCAAGGAGTAAGGCGCTGGACCCATATACCAGGGGTGGCAGGTTCAAGCCCAGCCCTGGCCAAAACTGTAAAAAAAAAAAGAGTAGTGAGTTTATTTTGTCTCAGAGACCCAGTATCTTTGGATCTCAGAAATAGATTTAAGAGTAATGAGTTTATTACATTAAACACACAATTACTGATTCAGTCCACTGAAAGGCCTAGAAACAACAACTAACCCAGTAGCAAATAGCACCCTTAGTGCCTAGATCAGGCGTCCTCAAACTATGGCCCGCGGGTCACATGTGGCCTGCCAAGGACATTTATCTGGCCGGCCGGGTGTCTTTGCCACTGCTGCCTATCCTGCTTAGCCACTGCCTGTCCTTTTAAACTATAGTCCAGCCCTCCAACGGTCTGAGGGACAGGGAACTGGCCCCCTGTTTAAAAAGTATGAGGACCCCGACTGTAGTTTCTGAATACCATTTTCAAATAAAAGGAGCCAAGGTCCTTCAGGGAAAGAGTTGATTTCAAGATTAAGTCAGAAATGCACAGGGTCAGCCTGAACATCTTATAATTCCAAAAAGCAAGAAAGCTGCGAAAAATATTAGGATCATGTTGAAAAGACTTTGGAACGAACTTGAAGAAGCTCCCGCTGGTCAAAAATGGTATACATCCAATCATAAGGGTAGTAACTACAGTGGACAGATCATGTTAAAACTGTTAATTCCCTGAGCTCACAATAATATTGAAAAAAAGATGGGCGGCACTATGGCTCAGCGAGTCAGGCACCGGCTCCATATACCCAGGGTGGCGGGTTCAAACCTAGCCCCGGCTAAACTGCAACAAAAAAATAGCCGGGTGTCGTGGCGGGCACCTGTAGTCCCAGCTACTCGGGAGGCTGAGGCAAGAGAATCGCCTAAGCCCAGAGGTTGCTGTGAGCTGTGACTTCACAGCACTCTAATAAGGGCAACAAAGTGAGACTCTGTCTCTAAAAAAAAAAAAAAGAAAAGAAAAAAGGATTATTGGTCACTTTTGAGGATTCTAAGAAGCCAATTCATCTTTACATAAGTTGATATCAATGGAAAGCAACATTCTTTCCTACATGAACTATCAGAGGAACTAAAAAGTTGAGGAAAAGTTTTACTTTATACACAGAAGTATTCTACCTAATCTATGAGAAACACTTAAATGATACCACAGAAACATAATCAGCAAAATACAGACAGCACACAAATGAACTACTTTATTTTTTCCTTTCTAACAAACTATACAGAAAACTGGGTATTGTAGTGCATGTCTGTAGTCTCAGCTACTGGGGAGGCCGAGGCAGGAGGATCACTTGAGCCCAGGAGTTGCAGGTTGCAATGAGCTATGACTGCACCGCTGCACTCCAGTCTGGGAGACAAAGCAAAAGCCTATCTTTAAAAAAAAAGAAGAAGAAGAAAAACAAAACAACTGCTCTTCTTGCAGTTAGAAGAGATACCTACAATACAATTCTAATACATAGTCCGTATCTAAATTCTAATTCAAATACACGCCTTAAAAGATAAAACAACTGGGCAGCGTCTATGGCTCAGTGAGAAGGGCGCCAGCCCCATATGTCAAGGGTGGCAGGTTCAAACCCAGCCCCGGCCAAACTGCCAAAAAAAAAGAAAAGAGCCAGGCATTATGGCGGGCATGTGTAGTCCCAGCTACTCGGGAGGCTGAGGCAAGAGAATCACCTAAGCCCAAGACCTGGAGATTGCTGTGAGTGGCATTACAGCACTCTATCAAGGGTGATAAAGTAAGGCTCTGTCTCAAAAAAAAAAAGACAAAACAATTATAAGCATTTGATATTGATGATGTTAACAAATTATTTTTAGTGCTTTTAGATACAATAATGGCATAATATCTGTATTTTAAAAAAAAATCCTATCCTTTAGAGACACATACAAGTTTTTATATACTTAAAAGCAATCCAGTGTGTGGAGCAGCACAGATGAAATAAGATTAACTCTGAGTTGATAATTATTAAAGCTGGTGCTGAGAAAGTGGTAGTTCTAGTAGATTAGTAGTAAGATTAGGTAGATTAGTGGTAAGACTAATCTAATTTTGTATGTTTGAAATTTGCCATAATAAAGGTTTTTTGATTTTTTTTAAAGGAAAGTTTACTAGAAATGCAAATTCCCATAACAAAGAAAAATTGAAATAAAAATTTTTTTTGAGACAGAGTCCTCAAGCTATCACCCTGGGTAGAGTGGCATGGCATCACAGCTCACAGCAACCTCAAACTCTTGGGCTTAAGTGATTCTCTTGCCTCAGCCTCCCAAGTAG